ATATATACACATACACATACACACACACACACACACACACATACACGCAAACACACTTGCACAAATTTCACACACACAAATGTATTTTCTCTCCCGTTTAACTTCCCCGCACATTTCTGAACCAACGGAAAAGAAATCAGGTACAACTTGTGACAAACAAATCATTTTGTGGGGACAAAGAGCGACCTTCTTTACCTTAAAATGTAGACGTCTCAGAATCTGTTGAACTTGTTTGGCTCGTTGAAGACGCGGCGTCGACCTTGTCTGCCAATGTCTACCCTAGCTGAGAGGGATACACCAACAGCTGCTTTTTCTGTCCTCATCCTGGCCTTACTATCGTCATTTTTCTTCTACTTCTTTTGTATGTTTGTCCCTCTGCTGTGAACTGCTATTTCCGGAGTGCCTTGATAGTCGAAACAGACTTTGTGCTGCTGTTGCTAGAGAGGTGAACAGAGTAAGCCTGATTCCTCGTTTTGACTTCTCTGTTGACATTCACCCACCCCCCTGGAGCTCATATGACCGTATGCAGTTGCGAGGGCCATAAACCCTTACTAAAACAAACAGTAACTTCCCAACAGAAGGTCAATATTACACCCAACACAAGTGCTTTACCCACTGGAATGATCTTATGGTTTTTGTTTTGTTTAGTATAGCTCGCTCCTGTGGTGTAGTGGTCTGGGGCTTCGCTGTCGCACGAAAGAGACCCGAGTTCGACTCCCAGGTGGGAAGATGTTTTATCGAGTATCTCAGTCTTTATGCTGGGATGTTGTATCCCTCTTAGCCCGGGTTGGCCCTGACAGTCAGAGCCAGAAGCCCACTTTGTAAATTATCTAAAATGTGTCGATAGGGGGTCTAAAGAGAGATCTACATTTTTAAAAAAGTCTAGTAACCGCAGGGTATCTATGTGAGGCTCTACCACCTGTGATATTTTATTATGATGTACAGAGCTCGCTTTCGTTCATATTTCAGTCGCTCCTGAAGAAGCCTACCAGGTCAAATGATGAGACGTTTTAGTAACCAACACGTGTGTGTGTGTGTGTGTGTGTGTGTGTGTGTGTGTGTGTGTGTGTGTGAGTGTGTGTGTATGTGTGTGTGTATGTGTGCGTGTGTGTTTTAAATCAAATTTACATTTACTGATTGAAAATTACACAAAGACTACCCTTCCCTGCTTTACTTTTTTTCCAATGAAGGTTTGCGAGGTAGGAATGATTAAACGCTGAAATATTTGCTTCGTAATGATGCTTGTCCAAATGATTTGTGAGACATTTGTATACATAAAACATTAACGATTAATAAATGTTCAGAATTTACGAGAGTAAAGTAGTGGGCGTAGCAGGAGACATTTTGTGCCTCATTATAACCCCCTCTCCCCCCTCCACCCCCCACCCAGGCGCCCACTCCGACAGTTCCCCCACAGTCCACCGATTCCCAACCGCCCCCAAAAAGCCAACAGAACAAAACATATCCATGCTTGACTCTCGCTCCACGCCACCAACAAGGCGCTCAGCCGTGCCGTTTCCCTCTGGTGCATGCAATTCTTGCGGTGGCCGGGGACAATGCTAATCACAACGCATGTCGGAACTGTGAAAGTTTTCCTCGATGATGAATCCTGTGAGTAATACACGTTGAAATGCCCACGGATCACGGTGTGGTTTTACGATGTATTCTCCTGGCCGTGGAAAGTTCACCAATATGGAAATGTCTTAATGGCTTCAAAGGAATCCGGTGTCTTTTTTGTTCGCCGTTGTATGCTAAGTACCTGAGTTCGATTCAGCAAACAGTTGTCAATTCGTCAGTCTTCCGGCCAATCAAACAAGTCAGACATTCTTTTACTGGCCGTTCTGAGTCCGGGTGCTGATGCAACCCTTCTGTAACTCGACGCTTCAGACGAATTAAAACAGATTCCCCCACATGGGAATCAAATTCGCGTCACTTGCACGCAACGGAGAAGAAACTGACCATTAGACGTCATGTAGAAATGCAAACAAAAGGAAATAAAGCAAGCAAAACTAAGAACCATCTGCGAAAGGGAGGGGGTGGTAAAAAATATGCAAACAAATAGAATAAACAACAAGATCATCATCAACAACAACAACAACAACAACAACAACAACAACAACAACAAAAACAACAACAACAAAACATGCATTATAAATAGATAAGGTAGACCGGTGTCTGTGATGTGGCGGTCATAGATAGGCTCGAGGCCGTCACATGCAGAATACAATGGTTGGATCCTTGTTTTTTTTGCATTTTTATGAGAATCTCGAGCTAACTGCTGGGACGTTGCTCCCTCTCAGCCCTGGTTGGTCCTTGGGGCAGGATCAAAGTTCCCTTTCTAAAGTATCTGAATTGTGCTGACGGAGGAGTAAAATCATCAACATTAAAAGAAAAGAAAGTAGAGATATGCCTCTAAAACGACTGATCAGTTGGGTATTTTTTTTAGGAAGGAATCCAGAAATTGGAGGAGGGGGTGTTGGAAAGGTTGGTGGCGTAATCCCAAAACTGTTATGTCGACAGTAGATGTGATTCGTATGTCTTTCATCAGTCTGGTGAGAAGACGTTCGTTACTCTATCCCAACCCCCACCCCCTTATTCCATCTCCCTCATCTCCCCCCACCCACCCACATACCCCCTCCCCCACCTCTCCCCTCCCTCACCCACACCCCGTCCTTCACCCCTCCCCCTCCCACCCCCACACTGTCTCCTTCTGCCAGGTGGTGTCAATCCTTCAGTAAATCACCACCACTAGATGTCCCATGTGACAGTGGTAGCTCACGTCTCAGACAGACAAATTAACCTTTAGGTCATCTTAGGCTGACCCTTGTCTTGTTTTCTCGCCTGCCCTGTCAGAAGCTGTGTAACGGCCAGACCCCCTCTGGAATGTCTCCGAGAGTTAGATAAGACTTTGCAAGCTTCCATTTGTCAACGCCACCACATCGCCGCTATGTATCGCTTTTCTGAAGTCTGACATACTCTAACATTTCCTTCCCCACACTGCTTTTGCGGATTTGTTTATGGATTTTGTCGCTCTGACCAAATGCTTGTCCTTCAAGAAGTGCATGGTTATTATAATTTATCATTATCATTATAATAATAATAATAATAATAATTATTATTATTATTATTTATCATCATCATTATTATTATGATCATTATTATTGTTATTAATTTTATAACTTAAAAAACTTTTTATTGTTATTATCATTATCATCTGTGTATTAAAATTGTAACGTTTTCATTTGGTTACTCTTCATCTTTTTTTTTGGAAAACTTGTGTTTTTATTAATTGATTAGTTGATCTTTTTTCCTTTACATATCTATTGATCGCAGGCTTGGGTTATGGGATTGCTTCTGTACATTCGCTGTTTGAAAGAGTGTGTAGGGTGGTGGTATTAATTGTGTATACGAGTGAGCATTTCTCTCTCTCTCTCTCTCTCTCTCTCTCTCTCTC